ATATATATATATATATATATATATAGACTCCAAACAGGAAAAACAGAAAAAGAATGGTAAGGGAAATGTTTGCGACATTGCTGCCCGATCCAGTTGGGACCTGGACTGGCCATCCCAGACCAACTATGCCCGATCTTTCTGCCAATCAGTTTTGCTAGCTGTCCCCACCCCCTTACAAAAGCCCCTTTGTTGGAGTAGCTCCAGTGGTAGACAAGATTAGAGAGAGTTTGCTCACATTAAAGATTGATCATTTGATGACCCAGTTAGGAGAATAGATGTTTTAGAATTGATTTATGTTGAGAAAGATAAAGGTAGACCTAAAAAGAGTTGGGCATGCTGTATAAAAAGCGATATTAATCTATTAGAATTAAATGAAAATATAACACTCAATAGGGCAAGATGGAGAAGAAGGTTTCATGTAGCCCACCCCACTTAGTGGGATAAAGGCTTGTTGTTGTATTAATCTTCAATATTAAATTTATTTATTTTTGTTAGTAATGCCTTATTATTGTTATTATTGTATTTTCTTTTATTGTACGAAATTAAACTCATTACTTTTCTTATGTTGAAATTGTTTTGTTAGTGTGTTAGTCATAGTGATGGTTGCTCACATACAACATAAAATTTCTCTTCAAACATTTACTGCTGAAATTAAAATTGCGAAACATTATTTTTTTTTAAAAGCAGGGCAAAATGCTAAAAGAAAGGCTAGTTAATGTTTCTTTTGCGCTTCTATTAGTTTAATTTTTTTTCTATGTTGTATGGTGATAATAGATTTGCTGACTGCATTTTCAATGTTTGGCCAAGATTTTTATATCGAGGGGAACCACAACCTGTTTTGCTTTTTTATTGTTGTTTTTGACATATATTTACTTTATCATGTACAGTTTTGTGGAAACACGTTTTCTTTGATTATTGATAGGATGAATATCTTTCATTTTTAGTTTTGTGCAGTTTGCGGACTAGCTTTGCACCTACTGCCTTTAACATTACATCCTCTATATATTCATGGTGAAAATGCCATGGTAGGCCTTTAACCTATGAAGTCAGTTAATTTGTTTTATTTTCTTTTTTTTATAACGAATGAAAGGCTTTTTTTAATCCTTAATTGTTGTACCCTAAAACAGGTTTTGGGAATTTCCCCATCATCTCCTTTGTCTGCATATTTATCTCGTGGGGATGTCATTTTGTCGGTTGATGGAGAAAACATCTGTTCTCCTCTTGAGTTGAAAGAAAAATTGGTACACCGAAATGGTCATGATGGAAAGGGGTATTGTGTAACCAATGCTTTGCTAGAAGAGAGCAAGTCTGTTTCGGTGCTGGATGGCAATTTCTCTTGTTCAGATGGCCATGCTGCTTTCAGCGGCTTGCCATGTGTTAATTCTAGCTCTTCCTTTGAGATCAGTTATAAGGAACATGGTGGCCACTTAAAAGAAAATAAATACTGCTTAAGCCCTGAAAAAGTTGTTAAACTTGGCAAATGCGGAGAAGGATGGGGAGTAACTGGATCTCTCAAGAAGCTTTGCTCTTGTTCAGAGGTACAAATCTATTTATTTACAGTGATTAACACGCATAGAAAATGAATACATACACACAACCATATATATATATATATATATATATTGGTCAGAGGCTATTATACGAACCTCTAGCCACCCTTAATGTATATATGATGGTCGAGTACCACCTTTTTAAAGCCAACTGTGCCAGAGGGAATTCGAACCCCTGACTTGAAGGTTCTTATACCGTGGATGCCATCCAGCAGACCGTGATACTCGACACACATACATACATATATATATGTATGTGTATATACACACACACACATACGTATAGATTTATATGTATGTATATATATACATACATACATACATACATACATACATACATATACATGTATATGTATGCATCCATATAGATATATATAAGATAGATGGATATATACATGTATATGTATATGTATGTATGTATGCATTTAATAAAAAAAAAATAATATATA